CCCCAAAACCCCAAAACCCCAAAACCCCATTTGTTTAGAAATCAATGATCTCGATTAGTAAAATCCTATTAATGGTTTAATGAAATTAAATTAAAGATATAACATAGGTTTACTGCCCTGGTATCCGATTATACAAAATATATTTAAGCAATTTAAATTCGTTTGATCACTCCCCTTTGCAGAAGTTTGAGATCTTGAAGTAGTTTAGATTTCTGAAATTCAAGTCCCTCCTTTGATAGAAAAGATTGTAGGCTGCATTTGTAACTATTTAGCTTTCATCCTCTATTTCTTCGATCTGGTCATCATTGAATCTAAACCATGTATCATGATTTTTCGCATAGGCAGTATAGTGGCCTCCCAGAAGCTAACCGTAGTGATTAGACACTGCAAACAAATCGTAGACGAGATTGGAGCTTTACTTTTATTTTTGCGAGATGACGTACTCTGACATGTCAAGACCTCTCACTGGGAAATCGATGAATGAGTTTTGCTTGGTCTAGTTACCCTTAAATCTCTTAAGGTTTAGTATTAATATAGGCGGAGTCTTAAATATCTGAATCTTTTTGACAGCCTGTTTGTGCACCATGCATTTATTGCAGAACCATGTGTTCTGGTGGCTCAACTTCTCTGGAATCATGAACTGCTTGAAACAGTCATCGATAGTCACCCGATCAGCAAAGAAGTTTTATTAAAACTTACTAGGGCTTTGTATTCTTTCTGGATAAACTTTGTCATGCATCAAGAATCTAATTAGTATTTCGTAGAGTCCCCAGAATTTCCTTGAATTAATGTTGATTTCAATTTCGAACTCCAGATTAGTGAGCTATCTTTTATTGGGTTATTAGCCTGATCTAGGCTTCTTGCTATCTTTTGAGGTAGCTGCCGATGATAATGTTTTAGGATCTTCATAGTAATAAAATGACTGTGTTGATATCCCTTTCTTATTTAGGTACTCATGGAGAGTTATTCTATCATCAAAAGGAAGAGGGCAGTTATCGCACTCCTCTCTATCACAGTAAGAACATTACTAAATGGGGCCGTCCTCTGTTTGCACAGTTACCTTTCTGCTTACGATGTTTATTTAATAGGGTAGATCTTCAATTTTTTTCCTAGATGGGTCATGAGCTCCTCCGAAAACAGATTCATATTATTGATTTAAACTCATAACGTTCCAGAGCCCCAGATCTTTTATCACACTGGGTCCCTAAACCTGATTTTTCCTTTTCGCAAAGGATTTGCAAAAACTTGTTAGGTTGTTTATGTTTTCCAAGTAAGAAGTGAATAGTGGTCGAAGATATTCAAATATATCAAGATGAGTTTGGATCAAGCTCTCATTCAAACGTAGGTACACTAATCTTGGAAATATTTTTTCAAAACTAATTTTCATTTATCCTTCCTCTGAAATATCTTAGTCATCGAATTGGCAAATCTAGGGATTGATAATCGTCTAGATATACCCATTTTTAAGCTTTTTGCTAAGTTCATTAGCTCCCTTTTTATCACTCCAATCAACTAAGGTTGGGTTATCTTGATTTTCCTCAGGTACCTGGCTGAAAAATTATTATTAACTAGGCTAGTGTTCCTTATTAGCTTACTTTTGCTAAAGAAAGCTCTAGTAGCTAGTCTCCATAGCAAAAATGAACATATTAGTGCCGTTCAATGCGCTAATTTATTCATATCTTGGGAGGATTCGTTTCACTTAATCATCTTAAATGAGAACTAATTCGAATTGTTCCTAGTTGACATCATGCATGTTAGCTATCAGCTTTCTCAAGCTTTTGATTTACTCGTGGCTTTTGAATCTGAAAAAGTTCTTAACACATTTCTTTTTGGTATCGTAAGGCACCCAGAAGTACTCTTTTTCCACAATTTTTATTTCTGGAATGGGAAGGCTAATACTCATGTAGGGATCGAAAGTAATTGACAACTTGTCGCAGTCTGGACATCTTACTGTGCTTTTGAACTGGCCGTGCATTAAGTCAACGATTATTGATTGATTTCGCTTGAGATAATTTTGCCAGGATTTTTCTGAATCTTTTTCATCGTTTAAGCCTTCTGATTCGATTTATGGAACTATTGGTTTTTCTAGAACTCTGTTCAAATCCTCATGAAGGCCATCAAGGATGAAGTTAAGGAGCTCCTGGGAATCTTGCTACTCATAATTATTAAACTATATTAAATTATCTCTAAATGCCATTGTTAATCTTACAGCTTTAGCGAATTTCCCTATAGTTTTTTTGAACTACCAAGGTGCCAAGGAAAGTTTATCATCATACCACAGCTATTTAATAAGTTTTGCATATGCTATTGCAAGTTGCCCCTAAGCTCCCAGCGGATTTTTATAGTTCAATTCGCTCTTAAAGAACCCATCTAAAAAGTACTTAGTAAGACCTATTGCATGGCTCAAGCATTAAATAGAACTGTTCATATAGCATGAGTTCCTCAAATTTTTTAGACCTAGCAATTAATTATGAAGGAAAAGCTTACCAGTTAGTCCATATCAGGCGTCAGTACTTTTCATACAAAATTAATCCCAATCATCAATACTTTCTAACGCATTACATTTTTCAAGATGATATTTATGATCAGTAGTTTAGCACTCTTAGCTGCAATAATGTACTGCCAGGCATTTGCAGTGAAAGTTTAAAGCAGTTTGCTTCAAACAATACTGACATTTTGAAAATATTTGAGGATTTTATTATATAATAGAGGACTAAAGTCTAAACTTATTAAAATTTTCATCTTTAATTTCTACTAGTATGAAATTAAGATCAATCTTCTTGTTATCTAGACTCTTATCTGCAAGTTCTTATTTCTTATCAATTAAAACCTCAATTAAGTGGTCAGAAAATTAATCCATACAATAGCCTTTAATCGAAATATGCTAGTTTTATTACTCGTAATTTTGAACCTAATCATCAATAATCATGGCTGCAGAGCCTAATCCGCAATCACTTTGAGATATGGTATTTTAATCAGAATTCTATTCGTTCAATTAATCATATATACTCTTTAGTGCTGAAGTGTTACATCCCCATAGTTTCAATTTTTCCTTCGTAATATTAAGACTTCCGATAAGCTTTGTCATTTATGAATCTTCTTTCAATAACTTTACAAGTCTAATCTTAAATTCTTCCCATGTTCTTTTTTTGCTGTAATAGACAACATAACTTTGAGATAAATTTAATTTTTTGGCCCCTCTATTTTGGCTTTTCCCTTTTAATGTTTAAGGTAAAAGTATTGCCAATTCAAACTATTTTTGTTTATAGGAATTAAATAATTTTACCTTCTAATAATATATATCCTACATAGTCCTTATTCCAATTCCAAGTTTTTCATAAAATCTTCTTATTGTAAATGTCTTTGCTTTACCAGTATCAGTATAGTTTTGCTCTAAAAAGTTCCACTAATCTTTGGATATTAATAGATAGTCTTCTCCTAACAATAAATCATCCTTCAAGACATTATTGAATGGATTATCAAATTCAGAACAGCAAATTATTGTCTCTTTAGGTACAATTAGTCTTTAATTAGTAATTACGCTTATATCTACCTCTTTGTTAAGTTGCTATTCCTTTGTGAGAGTTGAGCCTAATTTTCATTATATTTAGAAATCAAATAATTATAGTGATAGCTTATGCAGAGCTTAGCTTACCTTTGCTTTTTGAAGAAGCTTCCTCCTTTGAATCCATATTTTTAGAGCTTGAATTACTCTTCTAAGTTATCGTAGGAATAGTATTATTGCATTATTATGGATTGTTTGTTTGATTCTGCTGGCTATTTTATTGTCCACACAAAGACTTCCAATGCTCAATCCATTTAGCATCAACAATATATACCTAGAATGATTTATTTTATAGAACTACTAATACAGCATGAAATGTTACTTCGGTACCAGAGTTAATATAGCTTTGAGAATCAACACTTTATGAGGCCTACTTCATCCTCATCTAGTTAAATTTCGCATAATCATCCTAGAGTTAGCGGACTTTCTTTTTCAATGTCGCTACTAGTCCCTGCGAAAAATCTTATGGCTAACCTATACATAAAATCTAAGTTTATTTCGTTATTTCGAGCTTTTTCTTTGATAAATTCAGTCCAATGAGGTAAATTTAGAATAAAACTGAAATTCAAAATGAGATACTTACTCATTTCTAAAATTTTGTAAATTTATAAAATAAATATATATAATTATAATTTACTATATATTTTTCTAATTCTAGCAGCTAGGGGTTTTGGGGTTTTGGGG